ATCCTTGACACACCTTTGTCCATCCCTGTCAAGCTTAGCGCCTCGCTGATGTTACCTACTTATGATTTGCCGATTCAAGCATTATAGAACAGCATGACAGCACATGCACAACTTATCATCGTAACATCCGGATGTGTGACGCGGTAAAGTCAATTCCCAGCTCCGACCACCTCCATCTATCCATAAGCTCATTGCCTCGAGTTATATGTAGACCGAGTCGAGTTCCTACAGGGAAGTGTATACAAGTTGAACAACCAACCTTTCTATATCACCGACTCGAAACTAGCTTATCTTAAATCATGGGCATATCTTTTTGGCTCACATCGATTTTGGCGAGAGTGGCGCTCATTAGATTCAACCTGAGACAAGGACGAACTTGCACGAGCTGGTTTATCTTTATAATTGCTGAAATCACCCGAGATACAGGACGGTCGTCGACCTTCGTGTGCTGATGGCCTAAGCTTGGCTTCGTCAGTCGTGAGAAGCCTTTTCTTTTTTGGAGAGCTCATTCTTGCGCTTTGTACACCTACCTCACATCCACTCATTCCAACCAAGAAGCCTGAGTTCCCCTGCCAATGAATCGGTCACAGGTATGGATGCAGTATATGGATGTTATTTAGAGAACCCCGTAAGTCAAAGCCGTTCAAAAACAGCTTCTAAATTTATAAGTAAATAAAAAATCAGCTAGTGTAGCTGTAACATTCAATACGAGGTCATGTTCAGTATGTGTCTCGAAAGGTATACGCCAGTGATGAAGCTACTAGTTGTGAATCATTCTCGAGAGTTGTCATAATGAATAGCTATCGTTTAAGGCTTATTACACAATGCGTACTCGCAACTCTCCATTATCGCTTGGCAACTCTGGATGGAACTCTATCACCGTTATATCTCGGTTGCACAGACGCCTTCCCGTTCCTACTGCTGCGCGTCATCTTTGATGAAGGAGGACTCTTCTTTTTGCTCTTATTCGTGAGCGCTAACAGTGTGCTCAAAGGTAAAAGCATGATTCTCAACAGCGTTTTGAACGGGAGAAGGATAACGGCGGTGAGTGATTCCACCGTCCACACAAAAATGTTCTTATGAGATGCGCTATTCTTCGCAGCACTCGCAGCAAGAGCTATAGCATCATCCAGCCTTGCGTCGACCCCTGAGAAGCGCGACTCTGTCTGAAATTGAAGAAGTGTCGCCTTCTTCTCGTAACGACGAACAGCCCTATTCAGCGCGTCCAATTCTGGTTGAATTGCGTTACGCACATCGCGTGCCACAATGCTGTCCTTCTGCTTTGCTTTGCTAATTTCCTTATTTGTTTCTTGGACAGACGTGGCTTCTTCTGCTGCGAAACGTGACTCGAGTCGTTCCAGCCGCGCAAGTACGGATTCCAATTGTCCCGAATTCTCACTACCTTGCTGGAATCTGGATGGTCCTCCTTGTACCACCCGTTGGAGGTGAAGCGTTCTCGACTGAACCAGCTTTATCATATGGGATAGAACCCGAAGCTCGGCTACGAGAAGGAAGATTGTCAAATTATAATTGGAAACAAGACCCTCAGAGGGGCGACTGAGCTGTGATCGGATGGCGTGCAAGAGGTATGCGCCGAGGAGTGGAAGAATAAAACACGAGGCTAGGGCGATTATTTCGTAATAGTAGAGTTCCGCAAGAGCTTCCTGTTGTTGGTTTGATGGTTTCGCATCCTGCAATTCCTCAGTAGGTTCAGTCTGAATTTCTTGGTATTCCGGTACGTGATCAAGCGGCGAGTGAGGCGCTGGCATGTGGGTGCTCGAGTCAAGGTCGCTATCATCGTCGATTACACTGTCGGTTATTGACTCGTGCCGTATCCGTACCTCCTGTGCTGAATGATACCATGCCCTGTCCAGAATAAGTACATCTTCTCGAAAGTTGCGGTAGAGGAACGCAAAGGATAGGAGCTTACCATGGCTGTGTCACAGACCAGTGAAGGAAAATGCCAGCCAAGCCCAATAACATAACATCCGTTACTACGGCATTCCCGTTCTTAAAAAGAACACCAGATATAGCTGGGAGAAGAGCAAAAGCCAATGACAACGATGCTAGGGAAGATGTTTCTCCAGGAGAAGAATGCTCAGTGCTGCCCGAATCTCGAAGCTGGGGATTAAGAAGATCTCGAGCTTCGCTGAGACTATACTCTGAAAAGTTTGAGCTGCGGCGTGGCGGTATCGTGTCGAAGCCAGGCGGTGACATATGTTGACGTCGAGAAGCAGCATCCTCAGCGACCGAGACGGTCACAGCACGGCGGAGTCCATGGCCGGGAGGCGGGGCACTGAAGCTGGAGCTTGAACTTGTCCCGGCGGCGGGTCTCCCGGCGGCGGACGACGCTGTATTGTCATCCGTCATGGCCGAAGCTCAATTGCCGAAGCCGCTATAACCGTCTGTGTAGGGCGGCGCTCAGTGTTGACGAAGGGCCGAGCTTAAACTATGTCCACAGGGAAAGAAAGGCGGCACATTGGGCCAAGTCACGCGACAAAGCTCCCCAAGACGCGGAGAGTGAGGGGCCAAGGAAGACGAGTGAAGAGAAGGGCAGCAGTCGGGGAAACGAGAGGGGAGGTAGGTGATGAAAGCGTGCGTTGTGCAACACTGGGAGCAATTGGAATGTGGTGGCGATGAGTTCATCCAAAGAGTGTGACGATGTGAGATGTCTTAAAAGACGTCACTTACTAAGAAAGTAAAGTGACCTACGGCATTGGAGAGTGAGGCCGACGAGAGGGAAGCTCTTGGCTGTTTTCTGTGCTACCTCCAGCACTTTATACTGTGATTTAGCGCTGTCACTGGTGCTGGTCCCGAAGCTGAAGCCGGGCTGGCCATCGAATTCATTACATGGAACAAGTGGAGGTTTTCTTTGGCTAGGTCCCCTTCGTTCAGCTGGGAAAATTGGCCAGTTGTAGCTAACTTATAATATGTCAAGTCGATGTGGAAGCATGGCTAGGTTAGTGGGTGGCATGACTTTGTTGTGATTTGACAGTCATCTGAATATGTCTTGAGATAGGTCTTGGGCCGTGTCGATCAGCATGCAAGGGAAGCAGGAGATCGAATTGAAATGTACTTGAAGGTGTCGTATTGGGTATATTATGAGCAGCCCGCTCTGCATAATGGAAGATGTTTTTGATCATGGTGCAATGCATTTGGAAGGATTGGGAGAAATCCTTATAAATTGTAAGGCTTTTGCATGGCTGTGAGTGGAGGGCGGATCTTGTGCCGTGTCTGATGCCAAAATACCTATAAGGATAACTACTAACCATGCTGGAATTCACGTATGTAGGTGCCTAGGTAGCTGTCGATAACAAAACATGCTCCGGAACGTTTAGCATCTCTATTGCTGGGATAATCGCGAAATAGTTCCGTATCAATTTGAGTACTTTATACAAGAGTCCATTCAGGCCCAGAAATCGATACATCCATTCAGGAGTTCTATCTAGAAAAAGAACCAGGAGACGATAGAATCGAGACCATCCATCTTTTCAACAATGTGACGTCAACGTTCAACTGATGTCAATAATGTCGGGTAGTTCCAGAGGTTCAGGGGTCCAGAAGATCAAGTCCATCACAAGATTTCACGTGCAGCACGTCTTAATAACAACAACGACCTACGGATACATTATATCATGCAAGCGAGGCTAACTAGGGTAGTAGATCTCTCTTCCTTCGTAATGATCTTGAAAATTTGCAAGGGCAACTAAATTCGAGACGTTCGTCCCAACTTGAGACAGGGGCTATCTCAGGTGGAATGACTGACAACTGCAAGAAACTTGACATATTCTTTGGTCAAGCAACTGTAATAGTGGCTTCCAAGGTCTACAAATGCTCTTAAAATTATGTGTATGCAAGTATAGGACGATGGGGAAAGCAGAAAACGGCCTGGCAGTTGAGGCCATCACTACTCTGTACATTGCATGGATATTCAATCAGCCATGAAGTACTTGTATGTAAGAAGATGCATCGGAACTCAGCTCAAAGCCAAACATCAATTCTCTGGGCAAGGATTCCCAACGCCCGCACAAATTGACGCCCAGCATGGCGTCACCCAAGGGACTGCGTAAACCCCCTGTAAAGAAGCCGTCGCCTGTCAAAGAAAAGAGACTTTTTCAGGGGATGGACACTAGTTTGCTGGAGCCCAGAAGCTCGGAAGCCCCTGGTTCCAGGTTTTGAAGATTCAAGGTGAAGATTTGATGACGGGAACAGAGCGCCAGATACCAATTGGCACACCCTGCATGCTTAAACGACATACTGGATGTCAGAGACAGCCCAGATAGGAAAGGGAGAAGAAACCGGAGAGCTTTAGTCTCCTATTTTTTGCATGGCCAGATGTCTCGATGTACCCTTTAAAGTAGATCTGGTTTTGAGTGATGAGACTCGCTTACAATAAAGTAGCTGTATTCCCCCGTGTCTCGCTCGTCCGCCCGTTGCTTGAAGACACCGTTGCAGAATAAAAGAGCCTCATCTATCGACATCATCAGAACCACTCAAGAACTTAAAGGAGCCCGTTTGTAAGCTAACAGCACAACTACCGTTCGTTATATGAGGCTAATTCATCTAAGGCCTCAAGCGAGCGCAAATCTCCGCCTGTTGACCAAGAATTCCAACCCTTGGACCGTCCGGTGATACCGGCCAGGGAAGAGAAGAAAAAGAAAAAGAAAAAGGAAACACGATCAACGTTATAATAAAGGTCAAAGGGGCTTCTTTTTCACTCCTTCATTTAGGCCTCTCCTGGTTTGCTAAAGTACGACGAGCAGCCGTCGACTTCGAGGGTCAACCATCCAATAGTGTTACGACAACTAGTCGCAAACTACGGCAGCCCTACTGATAACCCATCCATCTCTAACAAAAGTCTCCTGCAAGATTTTATGAGATTCAAATCCTTCCCAACTGAAAACATCCACATGTCGAGCAAGGCGAGCTGAGAGAACTCAAAGTCACTTTCGCCTAAGGTAGGGGATCTCCTCCACTTAGGCTGCAGTTCAGCACTGAGGATGCTGGCTTCCAGGGCATCCAGCAGCCCATCATCCACTAAACCCCCTGTCAACCTCTCCCCAGCCCCCTTCCGCAGCCGTCATTGGCCCACCGTCAGCGAATTTCCCCTGGTTGACGTTTGTTCCCTTTGTTGCTTCTTTTCTTGCTCGCTCTCTCCTTTGCCTGTCAACGACTCGAGCAATTCTCTTGCCCGCTGCCGCTCGACAAACCATTACTACGAGATCGAGGCCGACACCGTACACGACGACGATTTTACAGACGCCACTGCCTTCAATACTCCATTTCCACTTAGCGCTCCCGATTTGAGCCTAGCAACAGGTGCGACGCGCAGTTGTCGCATTCCTTCGTTCTCTTTCTCTGCGTTTGTCTTCCGCCAACACCGGCTCCGTACACAGGCACTTAGCGCCAAGCCTCACTCTCCAGGACGTAGCCAACAAGTCGACGACTGCTTCGCTCTTAATCTCGACCTCACTCACGTCAGCGTGAGAAGGACCTCGCCATTTCTAGCGAGCGCGGTCGTCCAGGCGGCCGTGCCGACAACCTGTTTCCAACGGATCCCCATCTCGCCCGACCTTCTCCCTCCAACCCCATACCGGCCGCCGTAGATGCCCACAGCAACCCTCTAATACTGAGCCTCGAACCACCAAGGTCCGCCTATCCCGGAACCGGCTCATCTTCTGGTCAAGCCGCTGTTGCTGCTGCTGCTGCCGCCGCGTCGAATATCCAGCGCCAGCCAGCTCGACCCTTTGACGGTTACCAAGCAACAACCTTGCATCCTTCGCCATTTCGACCTCAAAAGGCTGCTGGAGTTGCTAATCGTCCTCGTCGGTTATCAGCTGTCCGTCTCTGGAATCCTACAAATTCGACGCCTAGGCCTCATACCAAGCCCGAATCATCACGCAAACGTCGTCCCTCGACCCCTCCACCACCATCTATCCCTCTTAAGCACCCGACATTCGATACCCGAGCACCGACCGATCCAATAGGTTCTGGACCCAGTGATTATCCTCTTCTTACGCTTTCCGAACAGCATCAGATTAGGCATTCTTTGACGCCTCGCGCAAGCCTTCAGGTTGATAGGGCCGGCAGTAGTGATAGGCGCATAAGCCTACCGAATTCTGTGCGCGCTTCTTACGACGAGAAAGGGTCTCGCAGGGGTGCAGTGTCTGCCGAAGAACCTCGCCTTAGCAGGGACCTGTTTGCTCAGGAGCCCGTGGTAGAAGATCCAATTGTCAAGATTGACAAGGGCAAAGGGAAGGCTGTGATGATGCCAGAGACCGACGATCCTATACCTTCTTATGGCAAGGATCTGGAGCGTGGTCCTGACATCATGGACCCGCGGATTTCTAACGTATCGGCTGGCGATGGAATAGGATCCGCTCTGTCGACGACAAATTCTTCTATTATGGGTGAGGATGTCGAGCCCGATGCAGCTGGTGAATGGGGTCCTCAGCACCCTTGCTACCCTCACCTCAACCCTCATGTTCCCGTTGACTCACCCGAATATGTCAATACGCGTATCATCCGAATACGTCGCGACTGGTTGATCAAGGGCGATTTGGCACCGACATTTTCCAACCTTTACCCAGAGATTCTGGATCCTGCTGGTCTATCCGAGCAAGAATTCCGCCGAATTATCGAGAAGCTTAATGGCGAGTTGATTCCTGCGTTCGACCCTTACGGCTTGCGGAATATAATTGATACTCTCCTTGGACTCATCACTGGTTGGATTTGGGATGACGTTGGTCTCACTGGAGTCAAGTCTCGACTGAACAGTCTCGAAAAGTGGATTGAGCAATGGAATCTTGAGATGGAAAAAACCATTGGCACTGAAGATGGTACTATTCCACCCAAGATCTTGCCTCTGCGACAAACGGGCTACATGAGTGTAAAGCTACTTTTTTTTTCATCGTACCAGGGAATTTACTGACGCATTGATAGCTCGATATCCAGATTCCTGATCCAGAGATTGCACCAGCTCCCAGCACCACGAACCCCAATGATTCCAGAACCGCCTTACCTCTGGAGCCTCCATCCACTGTTGTTTAAACAGATAAAATGTCAATTTGTGACGCCTTTCTTCGACCGATTGACAGACCGACTCTTGGTCAATTCCCTTTGAACTTACTTTCTTTAATTCCTTGACGACGAACGAGACAGCTCCTTTGATGAACAGGACGTCTCTTAACGAGTTGCAACAAGCAGTCTATACCCTCAGACTTGCGAGATGTTATTCCCTTTTCTCCATCTTGATACCACTACACATCGCGCGGCGTTTTTGTTTTCCGGATTCTTTTGTCTTACATGAGAAGCCAGCTGCTCATTTCTGGGCACTGGTTTGAGTGTTTCCATATTCATCGTGGAGAGATGATAGGTAGAAAGGCTGAGGCGACGTTGCCCGGAGAAACCTGGATCAGGTCCAGGACCTACCTCTTGCTTGGCATGACTCGCTCAAGAGATGAAGATGCGAGTGTTGTCTGCTTGAGGGGCAATTGTTTTAATTTGCGTAATTGTATCATCATGTACTTTGATATGATATAGATATCTGTCTAAATGGTACTAATGTAACCCCCAATTGTTTCCTACATGTTTGATCGGTTGATGGTGTAGTAACAACCTCGGACATTCGTTTCTGCCCGCGTTCCAAGGACAATTCTAAGTCCGCCTTCTTGGCCATTTCGTGATGTCGGTAATAACGCGGGCGGTCTTTGAAGCAAAGAACCTGCCAAGCTACTAGGACCCAACCCATGGCATTTTGGCGAATGATACCATTACTTCCCATGTCGTTACAGAAGCAGCAGCATTTGGTATATAACCGACCATCGGCACCGTACGTAGTCTCACACTTGATCTTTCGAAGGACCAAAAATGGCGAGAAAGCCGTCGAGACTGGAGAATGTCGATTGAGGAAAGGCAGAAGCCTCCAAGAGGAGCAACTGGCTGGTTTAAGAAAGTGCTCAATCTCATACTGGCACAATATTTGGTCATTGGCTTCGCTACTGCTTGTGTTTTTGGATATTTTTTCCCATGCAAGTTATAGTTCCCTCTCGCCGTCAAGACAACTGCTAACACCCTGTTCACAGCTGTTGCTCAGCATGGGGGCGTCATCCGTTCAGAGTATAGCATCCTATACGGCGCGGTCGCATTCATTTTTCTCGTTAGTGGGCTGCAACTATCACCAGGGAAGCTCCGAGAGAATGTGGCAAATTGGAGACTGCATATTCTAGTCCATGGGATTAGTTTTGCCGTTATCCCGGCCATTGTGCTTGGTGAGTTGTGTCTCTGTAGGAAAAGATCATAACCCGAGCTCATAGCTCTCTAGCCATTGTTCATATCTCTATCGCAGCTGGGGCTCTCAGGTCTCAAACACCTTCGCCTCCGATCCTCATCGGCCTTCTTACCACTGCCTGTCTTCCAACCACTATTGCCTCTAATGTGGTAATGACACGAGCTTCAGGTGGAGACGAAGCCGCTGCCATTATCTCTGTTGTCATCGGCAACGTTGCTGGGGCGTTTCTATCTCCTCTGCTCATATACGGATTCTTTCCAACTGGGCATCCTGAAGCATTCGACAGCTGGCGCCCTGCTGATCCGTCCACCCTAGGACTCATGTATGCAGATGTAGCCAAGCAGCTCTGTCTTAGTGTGATCTTACCCCTTATCGTTGGTCAAGTTGTACGTTGGAGGTGGGAGGACCGCACCGTAAAAGTTCTCAGTGCTCTCAAACTGGCCAAGGTCTCAACACTGTGCCTTGTTCTGCTCGTATGGACAACCTTTTCTGGAGCTTTCGGCACCGGAGCGTTGAAAGACTTATCTACAAGCAACGTCCTCTTTCTTGTCTTTATGAACGTTGCGCTATATGCTCTGTTCACAATTATCTGCCTCTTTCTCGCCAGACCACCCGGGCGCCTTGTCAGAACAGTATCTTCATCCTGGCTAAGGCATGTCTTCAAGCGCATGTCTAAAGAGCAGACAGTCGCCGTATGCTTTTGCGGGGCGGCCAAAACAACGAGTCTGGGTATACCGCTAGCAAGTTCAATGTGGGCGCGTGCGGATGATCTTACAAGAGCCTATATACAGATACCCGTACTGCTGTACACCATTGAACAAGTGTTCATGGCTCAGGGGCTAGTATACGTCTTTCGCTACTACATGCGAAGAGGAAACAAGGAACGTGGCACCGGGGAAGTAGAGCAGGGTACTTCCCAAGAACAATCTTCTATCGAAGTACAAATGCAGCCTGATGAACTCTCGAGGCGGGCCATTGGTGGGGATGTGGAACAGGAAGGGCAGCGATGTCAGTAAGGAATTTCAGATGTGCTGATTTGGTGCAACGTGAGTCAAAACTACAGAACCAGAATTCAGAGTTTACCACGCTACATAAGAGAGGTCGATATCCACCGTCGTCTGGCTGTCCCAGATTACAGATCAAGATAATATATAATATGACCCCGTGTCAAAATTCAGGTCCAAATAACATTATATATCAAGGTTGCTTTTAACCTGCACATGCCGAGTTGACTCTAATAAGAATACCACAATGCGTAAATATAATAGGTAACCCAACTCCAATGAAAAGATATTCTATACGTGAAGGGAATAAGTCGCACGTTTTCATTCATCTTCGATTTTTCAAATTCAATTGCAATACATTTATCGGAGTATCATATTCGGGAAACCGGAATAATGGCTGTGATCTTCTTCAATTTGATCATTCTCAGGTCTGTCCGGCCTTGACACCATTCCCATTTACAACATGCTCCTCCTGCTTGATGAGACTATCAAATAGGGGCTTTAGATGTTGAGCGCTCTTCTTGGGGTAACGCTTTTGGTCATTCTCGTAGTCGACATAAGTTACGCCGAATCGAGTCTCGTAGCCCTCAGCCCACTCAAAGTTGTCCAGCAAAGACCAGGCAAAGTAGCCATGGACATCCACGCCATCGAGTCTAGAAGCATCGGCCATGGCTCTCACGTAATCGTCATAGTACTTGACGCGGAAATTATCTTGCAGGATCTTCTCTCGCGGCATGTCATTCTCACCCTTGATGCTGGTGCCGTTCTCGGTCACATAGATTCTGGGGAAGCCATAACGCTTGGAAATCCAGACAAGTAGATCACGGAAGCCCAGGGCACATGGTCGCAACCAAGTAGACTGGGTCTCCTCGCCAATACAATCACCGCGGTGGTTCCAGAAGTGCAGCTCAAGGTTACCAACATAGTCCTCAGGAGAAGCTTCTCCCTCCCGATGCTTGACATAGTTGGCAGTGTAGTGGTTCATACCGTAGAAGTCATTTGATCCCAAAACAAGAGCCTTTTCCTCAGGGGTAAAGGTGGGAAGGCGGCTACCGAGCTGGGCGCGCATTGAGGCTGGGTAATCTCCGAAGTAGATAGGATCAGCGAACCACGAGATAGCAAACTCGATCTTGCGTTCGGCAGCCTCAACGTCTCTCGGGTCCTTGGGGTCCCACGGGTATGTGGCGTCGCCGTTGAGGGTGATGCCAATCTCACCGCCATTCTTGGGCTTGAATTCCTCACGATAAATCTTAACGGCACGGCCGTGGGCAACAAGAAGGTTGTGACCAACGATCCAAGGCTCAGTAGAAGAGTCGCCAACATCGGATTTCTTGCGGTCAGAACAGCGACCGGGTGCGTTGGATCCTGTGCTGTAACCCAGAATGGCTGAGCACCAGGGCTCATTGTGAGTGATCCAGTTCTTGCAGCGAGGGATAGACTCGAAAACAACACGAGCATATCGCTCATAGTCAAGAGGAAACTCTTCTCGGTTCAGGAGACCGCCGTAGCGGCGGTCCAACTCATCGGGTACGTCCCAATGGAAAAGAGTAATGAAAGGGGTAATTCCAGCTTCCAGGAGATCATCGACAAACTTGCGATAATGGTCAATTCCGGCCTGGTTGATGGGATCGTTTCGACCACCGAGAGGAATGATCCGAGACCAGCAGAGGGAGAATCGGTATGCCTTAGCGCCTACTGATTTCAGAAGAGCAATATCCTCAGCGGTACGGTTGTAAGAATCACAGGCGGTCACACCAGAACTGCCGTCTGCGATCTTGCCAGGCTTAGCGCAGAAGGTATCCCAGTTAGCAGGGCCACGACCATCCTTATCGATAGCACCTTCAATCTGATACCTATCTTGATGGTCAATTACCGTCACTCAGTGGTACTGGGAGTTGGGTTACTTACGAGGCGGTGGCGAAGCCCCATTGGAAGTCCTTGGGGAGAGACATTGTGAATCAGGCTGGCTACCAGCCCTTCAAGTTCACGTGAACTGGTCTGGGTCGTAGTTCGAGAGAGCTAGTATCAGGCCAGCTGAAACAAAAGAAACAAGAGTTGAAGGCCACAGGTTACTGGTGAAGTGGATGAGGATGATGTTGGATTGGAAGAGAGGAAGGAGAAGGTCATGTTTCCCTAGCATCACAGGACGCTCTTATATACCCCAACCTAGAACATGGGCTGTCGCTTTTCGTTCCACTCATAGCTTAGACTCTCTCCTCTCGTGTCAGCTACAATGCACGGTGAAACTGATGAATACCTTGGGTACTAAGGTAGAAGGGATATGCCTCTCAATGGCCGTGTTTGTACTTCGGGCCGTCATATCCGCGGCTGGATCATCTGCCACAAAAGCTGGGGTGGGGTTGACAAAAGCTGTCTTTTCACGACACAAAAAGACACGAACGCCAAGGCAGGGTACCTTCCTCAGTCGAATTGGTGGGTTTATCACGCACAGCAACTGCCAGGGATCCATTGCTCAGGGCCATCCATGCCTGTCTGCGCCTGCAGCTTGCTGATGGATGTCTCCCTCAACCTCCCTGGCACCCTCCACTCTGAAAAGGTAAAAGGCAACCCCAGCCAATGTGGTTGCCCCATGGGGATTGGTTTCAGGACCCTTCCAGATTCTCCTGCTGTTTGCTTCCTCCCTTTACTTACTCTTCTTTTTTTTCCCTCCTCTTCTTCTCCTTTTCTTCGTCTCGTATATTTTTCTGGAAACTCACAATTGCCCAATTCTCAACAAGAGGTTTGGTAAAATAACA